GCACGAAAATTACGTAATCCTCTGGTATGTTAAAATCGCACCAAGAGCTAAATCATTTCAAGCTCTGGGTAGTTATTAGATAATATAGTGACAGTCAGGCCGCTATGATATCTTCGCACGCACTAAACTGCACTCTATATACTTAACTCAAAATGGCATCTGGGTACATTTTCACAAAATGCTGGCCATATTCGTTGTTGAACACCTCTAGGCCTAATTGGTTGAAAATAATATCTGAGGATGCATTACAGAATGAACTTTTCAACAATTCATGTTGGCTTCCAAAGTTCCTGTGTTATCAGCATAAATAAGGCTTCTACTATCTATCTAGTAGCAATATGAGCTTTATATGTTGGTAGGAGACAATTGAGTGGTACAGTGAAAATCATGTGCTAATAACCACTTCCATAGAGATTATGAAATTAAGATAGACAACGCGATCACGTAATTAATTGCATACTACAGCAACATAACAAAGCACAAGCAACATTGTCTCAAAACGAATCATTGAACGTCTTCGGCAAAGCCACAAGTGAGTCAAGAAATCCGAACAATCTTCTTAAAACAAAGAACGACTTTGAGGGCCAGTTAAATAACAATGCTGTTTAGTTGACCGGCAATCTAACAGCGCTTAGCAACATTTGAAGAATACAGCCTATAAATAAGATATGAGGAATATGCATTTTAATATGAAGGACTTTATATTCTTTAAATATCAATTTTAGTGGGAAATATGTTTTAAAGATAATAAGGGGACTTCAAATTCTGATAATAAAGAAGATATTAGTTCTATTTCTTTCGTAGAAAAATACAAAGAAATTATGGATTTCCGGAAAACAGAAGATATAGCAAATCAACAGAAAATGGAGATCTGGAAAATATAGCACGGAGTTCAATACTGCTTGAGGCGTAGTTTGCCGAGATGTGAAAATATTGAAGAACAAGTATAAAACTATGAATACAAAAACTAAAAAATCATTAGATTAGGAACGCAGTTTAATCGCTACTAAGTTTGATAGGGAGTTGAACATGGGTCATCTGGCAGGACAACGGATAGGATATATGTACACTTAGATCTGACTTAGAACTGATCTTACAATACAATTGTACAAGCGACACTGAATGTTTTGTTAATAGATTTGCATTGGGTGACCACTTTAGATAATCATCTACAGTTATCACTAACATTTTACTATGCTAGCCTGAAGTATATCTATTTTTGGTGGATATTTACGCATTTTCCGTCTTGGACTGACTTGGTATTTTCACCAGCCATACCATAGCCAATCCGTTGAATATTAATAGAAGTAACCATTAAATAAATTTCAATCTTCTCTGGTTCTATTGACTCGTGGTTTATAATATTCAGGCATAAAGAGATTATTGTTGTTATCACGTCAAACATCAAATAGATTCTGAAAACATCGTAGTGGTTTAATTTTTAGGCTGCGACATAAACGAGGGACAAATGCGACACTCATGACACAACAGAATGGAGAGTAACTGCTTAAAATCGCTCATTTTTATTCACGTCAGCACGGTCGGTCGTAGATTAATTCGCTTTTTATCGTGCTCCTCTTTGAAGGGTAGGTGGCCGTTGTGAAATCCCGCAGACCCTTCAGAGAGGCCTTTCTGCAGCACGTGCCCCGTACGCTTTCACCGAAATCCGCCATAATTTATCTTGCTCCTGTAAATCCGCTTTAAATGGCGACGTCCTGAAGAGAACAGGCGTGCGGTCGGGAATATAGTTTGAGGGATGGAAAGAGATTATTATTAATTCAGGCACTTTTTTTTCGTCGGCCTTTATTAAGTGAATAATTTTTTTGAATTATTGTGGGACGACTCTCCCGTCTAGTGAATGATGCTCCCTCGAGTTTTCTGTTTACTTTGCAGGAACTTTCCGCCCTCGCGCGACGCGTCGAACTAAAAGTTATATAAGCGGTTGATTTTTGGAGATTAAACAAAGCGGTGCATTTGGATCATTAAAACGATTCGAAAAGTTGAGGCTGCAGAGCTCGATTGTTTAGCGCTTCGAAAACTAGTTTAGACAGAGTCGTACCCAAAGCACTTTCAATTCGGAGGTTAATCCACCTTCCGGCTCACCATCGCCCCCACCATTTGCCCAAAATGTTTCTCCACTAGGAGGAAGTTTTCAATTATATGCATAAATAAAAATTCTGAATTTTGGATATTTAATCTTCGTACTCAAAGAACAAGACATTGAAATTTGGAAAATTAAAATAAAAATTTGTTTATTTATGAAATTGGAAACTTTGGATTAGAGAAACTGCTTGTCAGTTGTCAGTTGTAAGATGTCTCAACATTGACCTATTCAAAATATGTTTTAAATGGGGTAAATTTAGTTGCACTTTGCAATTAAAATTCGGATTTACGAACACCTGGCGGGAGATATAATAATATGATATTTTGCATCAAAACCAACCAATTTCGCCAAACGCATTTTAGTCACAGTGCTTAACAAACGAGGGACTGAATAAATCTATCAACGTGTTCAATACTATTGTTTTCTATAAAACATGTGAATTGTGAATTCCAAGCTTGGCTAAAATCTACCGAAAATATCCGAAAGGTCCCGAATCCGCGACTAAAGTATCGCAAATGTCCGAATTGGCTCTGTACCGTCGATAAAGAAGCTGACTTCTTAAAGTGACACGCTTGATCTATTTTAGGGTATTTTATTTCGAATTTAGAAAACCAAAAGAATTACTACAACTATTTTCTACTTTTTATCTTGTTCTATCTTTTAACCGAAAATGAAAAATGGTCCACGGAACGCAAACTGACATTTTAGCTCTCAAAATAATAAATTTATCTTATAGCATAATTTAATTTGTCAGGGTATTTTAGCGGTAATTTCTACACTGTTATATTGGAAAATTGTAAATAGCAAAAATTTACACTAAAATTTACGTGGACCTCAATTAGCTTGTTATGTTATGTTGTAAAAGTTATAAAAAATAGTATTTTTGTACTGCCTTCTGTAAAATACTATAGAGTGCGAAAAGCGTCACTTTACCACGTGAGTTGCTTGTCCCACTGATCCGAGCCCCTTCGGACATTTCTGGGATATTACCAGGCGGGTTTGGGGGTAATCGAATGTTTTTGGAGATTTTACCGCACGGCTTGATTTTTGACATTTGTCAATTCTGACGCTCATGTCAGTGAATGTATTCTTTTTGTTTTTCAAAAATTTACCCAGAGAGTAACGGTCGTAGGAAAAGTATAGTATGCAACACGTTGGGTAAACTTTTTAAGTCACCCGCTGCGCTCCGCTCGTGTCAAATAAACTCATGAGTCCAAATGCCGTTTATTGCACTTATTGTATAATATGCTATATTTTTACGTGAGAAATTTTCCCATCAGTTATGAAACATTTTTTTTGAAACATCCTGTATATTATTGCTCTATGACATTACTCAAAATTATAGACATTTCGTTTATAATGCCCGATAACTGTAAATCGCATTTAACCGCAAATTTTTTCTCCAAAAAAACGTTTTCACATAAGAGGAATATCTATAAATTTGTCCTATACGAAATAATTTCAATTAACAATTTATGTTAAACAAATTTAGTTACAAATTACTATCAAAAGTTATTTAACGGATCTTTTGCCACTATCGTATATCGTTTGATATACGATATATTTTTGGGGCAGTATTTTCTCACCTTACTCGCAGATCTCTTTAAGTGTGTGGAAATCGTTGGTTAGAAAGAAAATGGAGGTTAGTGGTTGGAACTTGTCTACGAAAATATCATAGTCGCCCAAGTCGCGTCAATTTTTACCGTACTGGCTATATGGGTATCTAAAAATAGTAAATTATGCAACAAGTGCGGTAAACGGCATTTGACTTACAAGTTTATTTGACATGAGCGGAGCGAATGTTTAATAAACGTGTGACTTAAAACGTTTACCAAAGCGTGGGAAATATCTCCGAAAACATCCGATTGTTCCCAAACTCGTGCGGTAAAGTCCCGGAAATGTCCGAAGTGGCTCGGATCCGTGGGAAACGAAACTGACGTGGTAAATATTTTACAGACGGGAGAAGAAAAATATTTTTGCCGTTTATAATTTTGCAAATTATGGCCAATTTTGCAGTAAAGAAAAATATTAGTAAGTCACAAATAAGTATTGGAAGCTATAACCTTGTTCCGATGATTCCCCAAAGGGAGAACCTTCCGATGCTTAAAACAGGGACACCGGTAAAACAAGTATGATGTAATAAAATACCAAAATTTGAATACAAATATTATTTATTATCATAATTATAATTTTCGCTATATATAATAATATACCTATGTATATATCATTTACTGGTGTATGATAAAATAAATTAAGTATCGTAATAATGGTATAGCAACATTCATTATATGTATTTTAATAGTTATGTAGAAAGTTATATCATTAGTTAATATATTTTTTATTTTATTTCCGAAAAACGTGTACTCGTACAAAATACTGAAACCGCATATTACACATATCTTGGTATGTATATCTGCTACGTATATGTTTTAGCAATAATTTTTAAAATATATAATATACGGGGGATAAGGTTATAATAATTGGGACATACACTCACTTTTCTTAGACATCCTCACATTAACAATCGATATAAATACGCGACCGCGCGAAAGAATTGCACCCCCATCGGGGAAACAATCGAATCGCGCGCCGTTCGAAAAACTCACGGATCGTTTACCTACGATAATTATAAATATTTGACATCGAGAACACGTTCAGTGGAACTTCGAAAATCCATAAAAAAAATAAATTTTAATTTTCATAATAATTAAAAAATATCGTCTGCAAAAATATCTATTTTTTTTTAGTATACTTTAAGCAAAATTCCTTTAATAAATACTGAAGGCCGTCGGGGTTCACTCGGGGGGAAGGTTCTCGGGTGGGGGATGTTTTACGGAGAAAATGATCGGACCCGAAGGTGAACCCGCGCAAATTTTATTTTTATATATTTTTAAAAATTTCTTTTTCTCAATAGATTATCATGACGCACTAACAAACCAAACACCGTTTTTGGGAAAATATATGATTTTTTGAAGTTTCAATGACAAACCAATCGAAACGAAAAAACAGAAATCGGTTTATGTTCCACATCGGACACTCAACGTAGATAGAATAGATTTTGGACACTAAATAATTCGGACGGGATTCGGCGTCAACTATCCGCTTCGAACCTAGATGTTTGGTTCTGATGTCGACTATAATGAACCACGTCGAAATACTTGACAGCGAGTCCCGCCCAAATCGGGATAAAATAGACACTACCATGAAAATTCCAATTAAACGGCGTCAAGCATGCAAATGACAATATACGGAGTACACATATTATATTGCACAAAAAGTAGATCGCTAGCCTAATATAGGAAAATGAAAACACGCAGCGGTTAGAGATAAGTATAACGCCAAAAACAAACGAACTTCTAACCTCTAAACTGTCGCCGATACACGCGCGACGCGACGGAGCGGCCCACGTAAAGACTTTTAGGTTATGTCGGTGTCGGTGGCGTCAAAATTGGAAAGCGCTCCGCAAAATTGCGTGTGCCTGTTAATTTTCTTTTGTTTTTGACATCGTAACAAAATCCGAATACAAGCCAAAGGAAAGAAGCGAACAGTGGTGTACGATCTCGAAGAGGATGAAAAAGAGTTATATCATTGGTCACCAAAATATTTGTCTTCCTTATAAAATACTCTTAACCTTGAACATTGTATATAGGAAACCTTAACGCGGATATTGATGTTGTTCGGTTATATTATTGCTTTTTAAATAAATAAATTCACGAGTGTGTAACGTATAGTTTAGTAACTTTTGTCTTTGGCACCAGATTTGCGATATATATAAATATGTTTTTCTTTCATTACATTTTAGAATCCACTTTTAATCGATGTTTAATTTTTAAATATTTTTTGTATGTTCCCCAATATATTGTTGTGATCATGTGCAAGTACTATGCGTTGTTGAGGTGACATGTTACCGTCTTCACGGAACACATTTCACCTCAACGAGCTCAGGTGTGGCGAAAGCAAAATGGAGTTCCTGTCGAATACCAAATACAAAATTCTTACAGCAGTTAATATAGTTCAATAGTATACTTAATAAGTTGTGATAGAAACGTATCTAAATATTTTCTATTATTTTTTTTTTAATTGGAAAAACACTCACACGATACGCTTAGGTAGTTCTGTCGGTTTGCTTCATAACTGTCGGTGCTCCCACGTTTCCGTTTAAAAACAAAAAAAACGTATCGGGCGAATAATACCCTGCACGACACAGAAAAAATTCTTAAATTCATGTTTAGATGTACAGACTTAATTTTCTAGTCCAAAAACAACATTAAGTCAGTCTTACGAATCACAGTAAAGCTTTGATATGGTGACATTATTGTGCTATGTTTTCCGTTTAGTAAAAATAATTATATTCTTTAGCAGGGGAAGCTTTCTTGAATAACGTGTTCGTCAATATCGTTTTTTTTACGGTATTTCAATTTTTGCAGTACGGTACGCCAAATCGGTTGGTAGGTGGAAGCAAGACAGACAGTTACAAAGACCGCAATTCTTCTTCTATTAAATACATCTCCTTAACGGCAAAACCCAACATTAATATAGATTACATCCAATCTCGCACACATCAATAATATAGAAATACTCTTTTTAACATTTTCTTGCTGCTAAATATATTTTAGTATATTATAGTTTAATAATTTTCATAGTATTTAAATATAAATGCTGAGCGGGTGACTGCTAGGGTCGTAAGTTGTTTCTCTACGTCAGTAAAATATGCTCTACTCTACCCTTATATAAATATAGTAATTAGCTTTAAAATGTAGATAAATAGATAAACCTTTTACGTCACTAGTTATTTCGTTACGTTATTGCTTTAAGTTACAATTAGAAGACAAAATTTTGATATCATGGGGCTGCATTGTTGTTAGTATCTATCAAAAGAACGACCCTATATGTACGGCATTTATTTCTCATGAAAATTGCCAAGGTCAAGGTCAAAACCAAAGCGTATCCCCTTCAGAGTAACAAAGAGCTCGAAACTAACCAAGAGGATTCACGGCATTCTTTTTTGTTAAAAGCAAAAAATTGAAATTATAACAATACATTACTTTTCAAGCTCAACTTTTCTAATGTAGGTTATGCTGAATACGGCTTAGTATTAATCACATCTTCCATCAGGTCAGATGAAAAAGTACCTGCGTTCTAAACGATGGTGTCCACAAGGGGTCCAAAATATACATTTTTATCAAGCCCTATAAAATTGCGGATTGTCCTTATTTTCATGAGAATTAATTCGGCAGACGAATGCGTAGTAGTGGTGTCAGAGTAACAGTAGGCGTATACAAATATGCTCGACAACCCTATGAAATCGCGTAGGGGTGATGAACCTGCGACCCTAAGCTTGACGTCTTTTACAGGAGGCTACAAAAAGTACGAAAACTTATCGGTATAAATACAGCTTTTCTTTTCTAAAAAAAACATCTATAATATTTCTTATTCTATCTGAAAAATTACTCCTTTTTATGTGTATAATATATTAAATATGAAATATAGATATTATTACTTAAATATTGTAGTTAGGCCTGTATATGAATATACTAATATACAGTGTGATTTGGGAATTTGGTGGTGTGTGTTGCTGCGGCGCAGTCGTTTTGTATAGCCGATGCGTTAAGCTGCCTACGAGGAAACATATCGGCGATAGAAAGAGTGATGTCGATTACGATAATTCATCTAGCTAAGTGTCAAAAAAGTCCGGCCAAAACAAAAACGCGCTACTCGAAAGCATAGCAAGTCCAACGTAGCTTTCTCCAAGTTAAAAGGCTCTAGCAGCGACCCATGATAAAATTTTTGCCATTTTTATTCATACTTTGGACATGCTATATATGTATGACCCGCCCATCGAGAACCAGTGACATTTACCAAAGGGGTCGCTGAGAAAGTTACGTATTCTGTCACCGGATTTTGAAACGGCGGCCATTTTATTGTTTCGTGGGCTGTATCGTAGCGGAAATGCGCGAGTGCTTGAAAATCGGCTCACTCCTGCGTACCAAGAACATGTACCCTTACGTAATATATTATTTAAAATGAGATTATATATATATTATAAAAGATAAAAGGTGTTTCGGGCGGGAAGACTTTTTTAATAAAACTATCGGTTGCTACAGCACCTGCAAAAGTCATGCCCAAGAGAACGACGCCCGGGTTGAAAGCTTTTTTCCTAACATTGCACTTTACCTACACCCTACATAATATAAATATACAAATTTCACATATAAACCAATCCAACTGTTATTTTTCTTTACCTAAAGAGACCGGCGTCATTCTTCGTCCCGAAATACGCTTACCCTCCTCCCAACCGTATTGAGCATTATATTATTTATTATTAATTTTTATTCCTCGAAATGCAAAATGTCATTTAAAGTCGCTACATCTAAATTCACGCATACTAAAATAGTTTCATATATGTTATTAAAATATAAAACGCGATTTATTACTTCACTTTTTTTTCTAGTTTTTCTCTTTTACAAAAATTGTGCATCGAGAGCTACGGTCTAGACTCTACAGTACTCACTAACATGCATTTTATTAATGATGATGAACGGACAACATCAAACCACCGAAAACAACGGCTACGTAAAAATTCTCATGCGCCAAAATCAAAACGAACGCCATCTAGCGCGATCTGACATAACCTCAACTAGAACCATCGCCAACTTTTGCGCTTGGAGACTCCAAAAAACGATTTTTTACATAAATAGATAAACTCTTTTTTGGTTGTGAAAATAATGACGTTAAAATTTGTTAGAATCGCAAAACTCGGATGCTTTAGGACAGGGATGCGCTAAAATCGTATTGTCCCATTCGGGACACCCTGTATAGTAGAACCCCGCGTGGGTAATGTCAGGTCCCGCGCGTAACGTAACGAAACTGAATCGAAAATCAAGGAACGCGGAAAAGAAAAACAAAAACAAAACCAAAAATATATAAATCACGAAATTTATTTTATTTGGTAGCAATTAAACTTATAAAAATTCAGTGTCTTAAAATTATTTGCCGAGGCTGACCGCGCGGGGAGTGCGATCGACCCCCCGGTAGACGGCGGCCGGGTAAGCAAAAAAAATTTCGTTCCTAAGCGTAAGGTCAGTCGCTACGTAAAAAAAATCGTTCTAAATTCATAAATTTCTAAATAGAAAACACGCTTATACATCTATAGTAAAAAAATCAATAAAAAAAATCACTTCGAAAATAGTTAATATAAGTAAAAATATCAATATAAATATACGGGGCGTTTCCAGTGCGCGACTATGGCTGGTGTAATGCGCATTGCGCGTGCGCGAGAATATAAGTCTGCGTGTTATTTCCATTTTTAATTGACGGGTTGTGGTAAGCTTGTGGGATAAGAAGTTTGGTGGCAAGTTTTCCTGGTTCGATTCGGTAGCCGTGTCCCCGAAAACGCCCCCGTTAACTAATCAAAAAAAATCTAATAATTAAACTACATATTTGAAAACAGTCACTCGGTACACACTGTGAACATGAACTTGTACTAACATCCATAGTTTTAAATATCTCCACAAAAATATGTAAAAAAATAAAATAATAATAAGTATAATATGGTTTTTAATAGCTAATAAAACAACAACTTATATACAATGTACGTATAAACAATCTAAGAGGAAGCGGGGGGAGGGGCGTGCCCGCGCATGCGCGACCGATGGCGCAGACCCAGCAAGCAAGGATAATATTAATATAGGTAATAATAAAATATATATAATTTATCTAATAACGATAATTTCCCAATTCTACAATAAAAAAATAAATAAAAACAAAATATAGCTTCTTAATATTTAAATATATATAATAGATAATAATACATATATTAATAAGTAATAATATAAGCGCATAATAATCGTTCTGCGCCGCTCGGTCGGGCGAATTGTCTACGGTGAGGTGGGGCGATGCGGGGGGGTTGCGCGCGCAGCGCTGAGAGAAAAAATGCGACCGCGGCGTGAATACTGAAGGACCGGGGGCGGTTTCGCGGGGGGAAAGCCGCGCGGGCGCGCGTCACCGCGGGGGGGCCTTGACGTTTTTATTGTGTTGCGATTTTGGGGAACCGGGAAACGAAAGAATTACGCGGGACGAAGGGGCGAAACAAAACGAGATTTTCGAAGATAAAGAAAAACGTTTTTTAACTGTTTTTGAAGGGGAAAATCATCAAACGGCACCGAAAGAATCGAACCCGCTACCCTGCGCGCACGGTTTAAATAATTAATTTATTTATTTATATAACTCATATCGTACGCGATAAGAATAATAATTATAGAAATATATATGTATCACACGTAACAGAACAATAGCAACAATGAGTGATCAACTAACAATAAGGGATATGTATTTTGTTATTAGGGTGGTGCGAGGGGGGCAGGGCGCGGGCGCGCGTCTTCGGCGATTGGCAGTTTAACGCGGGGATCACAGCCGAATGGCCCCCCGGGCAGCGGCGCGCGCATCCTTTTCAATTATTCTCGAAATGCACCGGAAACGGACACAAAGGAAACTTTCTCTCGCCTATCAACGCTAAAAAATTCTCACTCCCATATTATCAATATATTATATCCTTTAATTTTTTCATTTTTTTTCGCTATATTTACGCTCTCTATTATTTATAACTTTTTAAATATTTTATTACTTAAATAATATTTTGAGAATTGCTGTTTCAGACTTCAATAATGTGATAAGTTCACATGGCGAAAAATTAAAAAAATATATTTAAAAAAATAACGAAATACTTATATATCGATATCATATAAATTTACGTTACTAGTCGCGAATTCATGTCTTTTATATAAGGGGGTATTTACTACGAAAGCAATCGATTTGAGGCAATAACACGACAACACAATACCGAAATAAAACCGAATTGATCTCTAACACTACATAAAAACGGTAATACAATAAGGAAATATGAAAAAAAAAACTGGCATACGATGACTACGCTGACGGGCCAGCCCATTCCCTTTGCCTTCGACTTCCGGGAACAACTCAACAGCAAAAAAAATCTACCCAACAATAATAATTATAATAATAATAAAAGAGTCGAACATAGTCAGCATTCGTTGTATTATATATATATAAATATATAGTTACGTCGGCGAAAGGGAAGAAGCGGTACCGTAGCTGAACACGGGGCGCTCGCCCAGGGAATGTGGTGGAAACGTCGGGAGATTCGAGCGAGATCTGTCGATAACAACAACTTAAGGGTTTGGCGAGAATATGCGAATGGCCTGGATGGCGGGCAGGGAACACACAGGACACTGGGCGTCGCTGCCTTCGCAGATCCTGTTGGCACAATCCACGCAGAAGAAATTGTGGCCGCAAGGCACCAGCGCGTGGGTGACCTTCGAGTCCGTGCACACCAGGCACTTGGTGCTCGATGACAGCAGCGAATCCGCCGGACTGGTGCTATTCGCCGGCGACGGCCTCGACGGTACCGACACGGTCGGATACGACCAGATACTCGACAGGGCGGTCGACGAATCGAAACTCGGCGAGTCACCTAACCCTTCGTCGCGATCGTTTGCGCTCCAGATGGTGCCCAAATCGCGACCGGTGCTCGACGAACTACTGGAACACGAGCCGGAGCTGGAAAAGGCACCGCTGCTTCCCGTCGACGAAGTCATCGTAGGGAACGCGTCAGCGGACGGTTCCATGTAGTTCAAAATCGAGCTCAGACCGGATTTGCAGAGGGACGCGATCAGGTCGGTCTCATCTAGACCACCAAGACTCGGCAAACCGTTGATGGAGGTGCCGTTTCCGGTACGCATCGCGATATGTGCTTCGATCTCTCTTCTGGCCGACTCTACGCTCTCCGGTAAGCCGGTCACTTCGAATACCGGCTCCTTATCGCGGCTGGGCGTCACGATGTACGTATGAGTCTGGTGCTGGATACGCTTGATGGTGGCACCTTTGGGACCGACGACCAGACCTACCACGCGATACGGCACCCTCACTTGGATGGTCACGTGGCCGGGGATGTTGGCCGGAGGACCCGGGGGTGTGCTCGCGCCCGAACCCAGGCCGGCCAGGTTGTTCTTGCGGGAAGCCCTGATTTGCGAGAAGTGCTCGGCAGCGGACAAGATCTCGCGCTTCGCCTTGGCGACGTCCTCTTTACGTCCGGTGACGACGAAGACGGGTTCTTCCCCGCGCACGGGCGTCTTGATGTACGTGTTGGTTTTCGCGCGAAGGGCTTTGATTTTGCAACCTGCAACAAAGAACAAACGATCCGTCAAAACACGTTCGTTAGCGAAGCGGAAACTTGTTTGCGTAATTGCGGGTTAGCGGCATATGTAAATATATACAGGGCGTCTCGTCCGAAAGCCTAAAGCTTATTATAAGGGAGACTTGCTTCCTCCTAAGACAAGGTATATATATATATATATATATATATATATATATATATATATATATATATATATATATATATATATATATATATATATATATATATATATATATATATATATATATATATATATATATATATATATATATATATATATATATATATATATATATATATATATATATATATATATATATATATATATATATATATATATATATAACTGTTTCGGTTGTTTATTAAACTTATTTCAATAAAAAATCTGCATTGCCAGATAAAAAACCCATTATGGGAATTTCCTAGTGGACGACAATGTAAACACCACCCTTCATAAAAAGCAATAAAATGTTCGGGAATACCGAATATCCGAGCCCCTGAATATATTGAGTATGACCACAAAAAGAAAACGTCTTTCTCTGAATCAAAGTGAGGACTATGAAATTAGTAGAAAAGTTTAATGTGATTAAGATTGGAGTTAGCTTGACGTTACAAAACAGAGGTTAAAAATTTGCACCGAGACGGTAGTAATTATGATTAAACAAGACATTTTTCTAAAACCGAAGGACTGTTCATAATTGGTTTTGTAAGGCTGCCAATATTATGAATGAATAAATATTGTAAAATACCAGCGTTTCCTTTAATTTCTGTGTTTTCCTTTTAAGCGACGAACCCTCTCAAACAACCAATATCTGATTCCCCAAGGGTGGTCGCTATTGAGGGATTCTGCGGGAATACATTTTTTTTCGGGAAACGCAAAAATTACATTAATATTACTGAAAAATATTAAGGTTTTGCAAAATAGGTTAATGGTATTTTATTTAAATCTGCAAGGCAGAAAGGTAGTCCACAAGTACGGGCAAAATAATGTCCGAACAAACATTGAACTGTAATACGAAGGATACATTTTAATTCGTTGGCTTTAATCTAAGTAGCTTCTCACTAATGTGTTCCTTCAGTTACAACAAAATATCCGAGGTATTCACCAAATTGTCAAGAACCATTAATGAAATTAATTTCTATTTTCAACTGACATTGTGAAATAATCCGATTCGATTTTCCAGCAGTAACTGGAATTCGGGTATCTGCAATTCCAATAAATTTCTTTGTAAACATTGGAGATCATTTGCAACGTTGCTATTAGTGAAAATTAGGTGCTTGATAATAAAAAATGAAAAAAAAATATCGCCTAAAATATATGACCAAATTGTACCAGCAGCGATGAAAGTTTAGTTAGTAATAATATATTGTTGGTTACATACACATATTAATATAGGTAAATGGCCGTTAAAAATATCATAGTAAGGACTCCTTGAACAGGTCATTCATATCATTTTCGAACATACATTTCTGGATTGCAATTTTTTAACTTGAAATAAAGTTGAAAAGAGGAAGCGAATGGCGAATCTGGCTCAGAGTATTTGTTGACTTCGTGCCGATAAAGACTGAGTAGTACGATCAGACGATCAGGTACTACTGTAACTTCCATTGTCCAAAATATTTCATGTCCAGTTCTAAGCGTCCTACGCCTTCCAGTTCCCAGTTTCTATTCCTTTCGATCTTCCCTGATTGTAGGCTGACATGGCTCGGAGTATTCCGTTTAGCCACGTGATTTTCAAAAAGTGGCTGTTTTCTTGCGCATTTTGGTGCGGAGGAATAATTGACACTTTTTTTTCCGAGGATAATGCGGAGAACGCTGTTACGGTTAATGGTGTTCGCTATCGAAACATGAAATCTGATTTTTTCTGGGAGCAGTTGGAAGGTATGGACATTGAAGATTTGTGGTTCCAACAGGATGGAGTCACTTGTCACACATCCAGAGAAACGATGCAATTGCTGCGGGGCAAGTTTCCTGGTCGGATTATCTCACGTAACGGCGATATCAATTGGCCACCGCGATCATGTGATCTTACTCCCCTAGATTTTTTTTTGGGATATCTAAAAAGCAGAGTGTATAGAAATAAACCAAACACTATTCCAGAGCTGAAACAGGAGATTAGACGCGTAATAGCCGGCATAGAACCTGAATTGTGCCAAAAAGCGATAGGAAATTTCAATAAACGAATTACGTCATGGCACATGAGTCGCGGGGGTCATTTGAATGACATCATCTTTCACACTAAATTGTAATACACTAATCTAAAATGGCAAATAAAAATGTGTGTATATTTTTATATTCTTCCGAGTTTTTTTTATTATTTTAATGTGGAAACCTTATGGACCCTTTATTTCCTTTGTTGTTCGTCCACTCTTATCCATCTTAGTTCCCAAAATATTTCGCAGAACCAAATCATCTTAGCGCCGAACGGACAGCTAGTAGTGTAAGTGCATGCCATACAACTGTTGTATTCGCAAAAATGTCTAAATTATTATTGGTTCAGGCAAGAGCTTTGACTGAAGTTTCTCCAAATCGGACCCAAACGCTTCGAGACGCTCATCCAAGGCACCGGCCGGCGGTGTACTTGAACCAATTCACGATTGCCGTGTGTACTACAACTTTTGTGCCGCATATTTTTTATGCCTCGGCGGTGGCGGCGGCGGCGGCTGCGGCACGAAAAGATAAAATCCGACCCGATCTCGTTCGGTACATAATTAATATGATCGGGTAAATCGGCACCAAGTCTGAGAGATGAACGGACCGGGTCGGGCAGACAAAGCAATAACAACGCCCTTCAACCTGCCGCGGCAGGTCAGTCGCATTCACCTTGTGGCGGCGCGCGATCTCCCAGACTCTTGGCCGTGCGAAAACGCGACGACGCCGGCATTCTGCATCCAGCGCGAGGACAACCTTCGCGGATGCTGTCGGGATTTTTAATTAAAATACTACTGGCGACTTATCGGGGAGAGAGCTCTTTTACGACCTTGCCCGGGTGAATGTTTATGTCGTTCCGAGTCAAGTTGGCCGCGGACGAAACAAACAAACGATTCCGATATGAGGCGTGAGACGCGGACATACATATACAGGGTGTTATTCAAATGACATCACACAGCGTAACGAGAGAATCTCGACCTCGCCACGAAGTCGAGACTGGTCCTTATCTCCGTTATACTGGTTTTAAAATGACAATGGATTCATGAAGCAATTGATGATTTTCAAATGTCATTTAACAGTACTCGTAGTTTTTCAAAGCAACTTCCACAGGCTACTGTGATACTTTTTACAAAGCTTCTGGATGCCTCCTGCGTCGGTTTTTGCTGCGTCGAAATTGCTGACGTTTTGCCAATCATCCTCTTGGCTTCTTCAGAGCTTGACTGAGCCAGTGGTAAATGTGGTACATTGCACCGTCAAATTTGTTAGTGGGCCAACTTCATGAAGAAATTGTTAGTGTAAAATTAGTATTAACTAGTAATTTAACTCGTCGTTCCGCAGTTCCACAGAAAATTTCCTAGTTTGGACAGTGTGGTTGCCTACCAACAGAACAAATTTTTGACTACTAGAATATAATTCCGGGAATCAACTAATTCATAGGGAGTCGGGTCAATATGCAGGTTCTGAATCAATTAACAAAAGCTCAATTTTATATCCCTCAACCCCTGAGATTCGATCCTTAAACCATATGACGCCATTTCAACAACACCCTGTATGTACTGATCGGATGGACGTGCGCGTTGCTCACAAAGATCGTGGCGCACCGTTTAATCACAGCGGCAGGCCACGGCCGAACAAAGAACCGGGAATACGTCAGCGCCCCCACCCTCCGTTCTAAGACATCGTTCCTTTGTGGGGCCCAGTCGCAAAGACCAGTTTTAATTTTTTTCACCCGCGACCGTATGATTTAGTGGCGGGCTTTTCAAGTACGGTGGCGGCACAGGTCGACCTAACTGGTTTTTGTTTTTCGGAAGCGCAAGGATTGCACATCTATACCTAATTTTAAAATATAAAGGTAATCACAAACCCTAACTAACCAAAACCCCAAATTCGCTCCTGCGTCAATGAACAGAACTGAAAATTAGCTGCGATACAAAATCTTACGTCGAAAATGATAAAACCCCTAAAATCTAAGTCAGCGTCTCTCTAGCGACCAATAAAATATAACTCCCTATTATTGGGTAAGGGTAATATTTTATTATAATTAAAAAAAACCCAAATTTAAAAAATATATATTTAAGTTGCAATAAACAATTCAAGTTGTACCAATGTACCAATTCCTTTCAAACGACACTAAGGGCGCTTGACGTCATACCGCTGCTTTTCGATCGATACGGTACATGTTATAGCAACACGAAAACAATATTACAAATGGTGCTATCGCGTTTGAGTACAACCCGTAAAACGCCAGAAGAACTAAAATAAAAGCCGTCGTTTTTGGTTAACATTATGTTCAGGTGTCAATTTAGCCTTAACCGCGCAAACATTTCTAACCCTTCGAACTTGCACCTATCCTATTGCGGTCTCCATAAGAATGGGCTTCCTGATCTATATAAAATAAAGAACACTTTTAAGTTATCTTAATTATTAATTATTAAGTTACTTTAAAAAAAATGTTTTTTTTTGTTGAATAATTTACATTTTATTTGATATACCATTTGAATTTTAAAAACTAGAAAACTTTACGCTGATTACAATATTATACGGGTATAAAACTAGTGGCTAAATTTTCTATGAACCTTTTAGCTTTAACACCGCGAACCTCAGCAAAAAAAAAAACTTTCGGTGTTTTGTATGTAAAACGTCACCATAAACGTATTCTCCAAAGGTAAATTATCAGATTGGCCTTTTAAAAAATTAGCTTCGGTCATTTTCAAAACTTCCTTTTTCATACAAAACAAAGATAACAGAATCAAGACTAAAATTAAAATTAAAATAACCAAAACTAACGTGTTGTGGTTCTATAGTGGCCTGCCTATATCACCGTCCGGCT